TGAAAAGGAGCGGAGAGCTGAGCAGAAGACAGGGTTTATATAGAATTTCTTCTGTGTGGGGACTTTCCAGAGTGGGAAATGGTGGGATTTCGAGTCCCGAGCTTGGACTTTTTACTCTGTAGGGTGGGGGCTGGGTCTGGCTATTAGAGCAGTTAGAGTGTTCTGTAGGTAGAACCTAGTGACTGAAGATCCTCAGGGAAGTGGCCTGGCCACTTTCATGCCTCAAGGGACTTACAGCAAGGAAATTGGTTAAGCTTTTTGTACACTGTGAAGATATGTCTTTGTCAAGGTGCCTTCTGATTGGTTTAATAAGAAGCTAAATGGCCAATTACAGAATTTTAGGCGCACAGGACACTGGGGAGAAGAAGTCACCAGCCAGACACAGAGGGAGCAGGAAAGCTGCATAAGCAGTTCAGAGTAAAGGTAATAAAGCTACAAGGCAGAAAGTAAACTAATAGAAATGGGCTAACCTAAGTTATAAGCGCTAGTTAGAAACAAGCCTAACAGCCTACAGAGTGGAAAAGATCTTCATCAACCCCACATCAGAGGACTGCTTTCCAATATACAAAGAACTCAAGAAACTTGACATCAAAAGAACAAATAATCCAATAAAAAATGGGGCACAGACCTAAAAAAAAAAAAGAACTCTCAACAGAGGAATCTAAAATGGCTGAAAGACACCTAAGGAAACGCTCAACATCCTTAGTCATCAGAGAAATGCAAATCAAAACAACTCTGAGATTCCATCTTACACCTGTAAGAATGACCAAGATGAAAAACACTGATGACAGACAGCTTATGCTGGAGAGGATGTGGGATAAAGGGAACACTCCTGCATTGCTGGTGGGAATGCAAACTTGTACAGCCACTTTGAAAATTAGTATGGTGATTTCTCAGAAAATTAGGAAACAATCTACCTCGAGACCCAGCAATGCCATTTTGGGGTATATACTCAAAGGAAGCTCATTAATACCACAAGGATATGTGCTCAACATTGTTCATAAACAGCATTATTTGTAATAGCCAGAACCTGGAAACAACCTAGATGCCCCTCAACCAAAGATTGGATAAATTTACACAGTGGAGTACTACTCAGAGGTAAAAAATAGTGACATCTCGAAATTTGCTGGTAAATGGATAGATGTAGAAAAAAAAACCCATATTGAGTGAGGTAACTCAGACCTAGAAAGACAAAATATAAGAAAAACTAACTTACAATCCACAACCCCAGAGAACCTAGAAAACAAAGAAGACCCCAAGAGAGATGTACATGGATCTAAACACACAAAAACGGAGCCCAATGTGACTTGCTAGTCTTCTGTTCTTCATGCTGGCTCTGATACAGAAATACATCTCCTGGAAGCTGCCTGGGTGCATGAGTCTCCAGTGCACCATGAGCTAAGCCACATGGTGGATTTAAGGTTTTTCTCATGTAGACAGGAAAGCTTACTGATGCACAGTAAAGCCTGATCCAGTTGGGGAAAAAAACCCTCTAAAAAGGTCAGTGTGTTTAAAAAATATGCATAGATGTAAGAAAGAAAAAAATGGGTATAAACAGTCATAAAAAGTAAATAGTTTATAAATAATAGAGCAAAGTCTTTAAAGAACGAATAAAGTAATATAAAAAGAATAAGCACATAAGAATTGGAAAATACACATGGAGTCTGGATCCTATATGGTGTCTTATTAACGTTAAAATTTTAAATGCTATGTACGAAAAACAATAGCTGTGGAGAGACATTGGATATGGAAACTGCTAAATTAAACCAACCTATATATTTCAAAAATGTCTTAACTTCAAAATGGAAGTCAGAAAATGTGTTGTGTTGGGACAGAGGTTATGCTTTTGTTTCCACAGAAAATGAAAGGCTATGATTCTTTCCAGATTAATAGAGATCAGATTTGATTGGTGGTGACTCCCTAAAAAATAAACATAAAGAAATAAACTAGAAAAACTAAAAGACAGGTGGTGTATATTTTACCTGTTCAAACATAAATCATCTTTGGCTCATCCAAGCAGAGGCAGCCACCCTCCTGTGTTTTTCCCTCCAAATAAATCTCTTGTGTGAAGTTTGTTGTGCAGAATGACTTTGTAGTATTCCTTGGCTCTTGATGGTCAGGAAACCTTTCCCAGCAGAGCTATAACACTCGTGCTGGGGAAACCTTCCTCTTGCCTGAGCAGAGCTATAAAACACTTCCATTGGGGAAGCCTTTCCCCTTAGAGCTGTAACACTTACATTCCCCAAGCATATGCAAGGTATAAGGGCTGTAGAAAAACTGTCTCAGACAGGCTGAGTCACCTAAAGGAGATAAAGAGGCAGAGACCAATGGAGTTGGTGGTCAGGAGGTGGTGGTGGTTCTTAGACCAACTTAACTATGCTTGGAAAAGGAGCTCTCCGACATGTTAAACTACCTGTTTTATAGTGGAGCGGGGAAGTCTTCAATACCCGACCAACTCCTTAAACAACAGAAGTAGTTATCATGCATGCTCAGTTCTCTAAAACATTGTATCTGCTCCTGACAACAGAAAGAACAAATGAATCTGATTGGCTGGACTAAAAAGCTTACATTCTCTGTCAGTTGACAATGACAGAACACACAGGGAAAGTCCCTAATCTTTGAATCCTGACCAGTGGAAAATTGTAACTATGAGTTGGCAATAGGTGTTCATGTTTTTTTTTAATTGATATTTATTGAGCTCTACATTTTTCTCTGCTCCCCTTCCTGCCTACCCCCCCACCCTGCTTCAACATTCTCCCAAGGTCCCCATGCTCCCCTTGTCTTTTTCTACTTCCCATGTAGATTAGATCCATGTATGTCTCTTAGGGTCCTCATTGTTGTCTAGGTTCTCTGGGATTGTGACTTGTGGGCTGGTTTTCTTTGCTTTATGTTTAAAAACCACTTACGGGTGAGTACATGTGATAATTGTATTTCTGGGTCTGTTATGGTTTTATGCTTAGAAACTCTGCTTCTGCTCCTGCCCGGGGCTTCCAGGAGAAACAAGAATCCTTGTTCTACAGCCCTGATGGATCAGCGACCACACTTGTGTGGATATATATTAAAGGCTTTGCTGTTTCATGGGCTCATCTCTCTCTTTCATGTTTCCTCGTGATGCACAATGGACGTGGTGTAACAGGTGATGTCTGTCTTCTAGGACTAGTATCACACAACACCCTGAAGAGTTAGCAAAAAATGAGTAGTGTGTGTGTGTGCGCATGCTTGTGCACATATGCATGGAGCCTAGAGAGAGGTCAACTTTGAGTATTTCTCAGGAGCTGCCTACCTTGTTTTGGTTTTGAGAGAGGGTCTGATACTGGTACCCAGGGATCACTTGTAGCCTGGTTGGCCAGTAAGACTCAGGAACATTCTTATTTCTGCCTCCCCTCATATTGGGTTACAAGCCCACGGCTACACCTGGCTTTTTACATGAGTGCCAGGGGTAGAGGTCAAACTCTGGTTCTCATAATTATGTGGAAAGCACTTTATTGACTGAATCATCTCTACAGCCTACATAGAGTCTATAGACTTTTTACCCTGTATTTTGGGACCTGTGCCGTGTTTTCTGTGCAGTTGTCTGGAGCACTTAGCTTGGGTCTTGGCCGCCGATGGCCACATGGCCCTCCGTGTTGTTCAGTCTCTTCATGGCCCTTCAAACTCATCTCTTCATCTGAAGGACAGAGATTTCACCAATCCTCAAGCAATTCCAAGTTCAGGTGAAACATTCCATGAGAAAATGGTTGGTGTGAGTCTTGGCCCTGCCCTGCTATCAACATCTCTAGGAAGCCACCAGGCTTGTGAGGATGTCTTAGGGGTTTTACTGCTGTGAAGAGACATCATGGCCACAGCAACTTTTATAAAGGAAAACAATTAATTGGAGCTGGCTTACAGTTAAGAGGTTTAGTCCCATTGTCATCATGACAGGAAGCATGGTGGCATGCAGGCAGACACGGTGCTGGAGAGGTAGCTGAGTTCTACATCTTGATCTGCAGGCAGCAGGAAGTGAACTGGCTTGAGCTCCTGAAATCTCAAAGTCCTCCCCTCAGTGACACACCTCCTTCAACAAAGCCACACCTTCTCCAACAAGGCCACGCCTCCTCACAGTGCCACACCCTGTGGACCTGTGTGGGTCATTCTTATTCAGGCTGCCACAGAGGGCATGACCCCTTTAAGCCCCACTGCATCTCACAGACTCTAAGAACAATGTCTAGACAGGCCAGCTCATCCCTTCTTCAGGATCACTACAGAAAGTATATTAGGCCTCCTAATCTGACCCTAACAGGCCACAAAACTTGATCCCATACTATAAAGATAGGAGCTTGAAATAATATGTTTGAGTTTGCCACCAGATAGCTTTGATAAGAGCCAGGCCTCAGAAGCAAGCCCCCTGGCAGCCCACAGACAAGCCTAATTCAGGACAGGTCATGATATGAATGCTAATGAGCTAAACCCAAGGTGGGGATGGTATGCCAATGACCCCTTGGTCCAAAGCGGCTACCCAGTGAAATGATACAAAAATCAGAAGTCTGGAAACGGTCTCTAGGATTGCCCTGTTCCTGTGAGAGGCTTCTATAGTTCGTGTTGACACCAACAGGACGCGAGACTCTTTGTGGTCCTGGCCTCAGTGACCACTGATGCTTGGCTCCTCAAGCTTGCCTGTTAGTGCTGGCCACCGGTCTACGCTCTCAAGGATCTCCTGGACTTTGACTGGTGCCATCCTCTCAGTCTACCACAACTGAAGGACGGGACGGCACAGTGGCCAGCGGTTAAGCACACACGCTTCAAAAATGTATTCACTGGAGATTCCTCAGTGGAACCTGCAGCAGCAGTTCTGCCCAAACAACTGGTCCCAGCTTGGTGAGACGTCTGGGTTTTCGTTTTTCTTTTCTTTTTTTGAGACAGGTTTCCTCAATAGGCAGACCAGATTGGCCTTGAACTCCCAGAGATCCACCTGCTTCTTCCCTCCTAGTGCTGGGATTAAAGACACGTGCACCACTACCCAGTTGAGACGTCTGTTTAACTTATATATTAACATGATATTGTTAGGAATGTTTGTGCGAATAAACCAAGCATATTTGAAAGACAAACTTTGTGTGGACATCCTAGTTGCCGAGTGCCTTAAAGTCATAGGCTCATGCTCTCTGAAAAGCCTTAAAAGTGGTCTATTCAGAAAAAAAAAACAAAACAAAAACAAAAACAAAGGGACTTATTAGGAGACCTGAAAGAGAAATGGACAGTTGAAATAATTTTCTATGTTTTAAATATGCCCAGCAATTGGTTGGCTACTCAGGGTATTGATAGATTAATACACAGATACAAGTTTTGACATTAAAGTATTTTTCTTAAAAAGTTAAAAAAAATTAAGACTTGCACATACTCAAATTATTTTTTGGGTGGTGTGGAGGTTGAGACAGGGTTTTTCTGTGTAGCCCTGGCTGTCCTGGAACTCTCTCAACAGAACAGGCTGGCCTTGAACTCAGAGACCCGCCTATCTCTGCCTCCCGAGTGCTGGGATTAAAATTGTGCACCACCACACAAGTTAAGCTTTCAACTTAAAATTCTTATCTACACAAATTTACAATATTTATAAATAGTTTTCAAGCAAACTGAATTACATTTAAACAAACTATCTTCAGAGACAAAATACTCTCTAAGCTAGCTGACTTGAAAATCAAGTCAAATCTCAGACTTGTACATGACAAAGGATAAAAACGGGAGACACAACAGAATGGAACTTTGTCCAAACAATACAATGACACTTTTGGCAAGTAACACTTTGATGGCAATACAAAGATGAATCCAACAGTCTGCGAAAAAGCGCAGTGAGCTGCACAGCGCAAGTAGGGACGGAATGCAGTACTATAAAACTCATCAAGGGCGAAGGCCCCTGCCCTCACAGGCCAGACGGCTGATAGGTGGCATTACACTGGCTGGAGGTGTGTGGGAGCAGATGCAATGTACAAACCCATACAAGATGCCCCCTGGGCAGGCCTTACACAGACCACGAATGAGCACACCCTCCAAGGAACAAACTAGATGTTGTTAGCTGCCTCTGACCATCAGTAAATGAACTGAGGTCCCAAGGCCTCAACAGTAATTGTATAAACCAGGCTCACCCCAGACAATTGGCCAGATTGTCCAGGCAGCATGACCTGGGTCCGGAGAGGCAATGACATCAGGGAATGCCCTCCTTGCGCTGGCAGCACTGGGAGGGTGGCGCTGACCAATCATAGACATAGGAGAGGCGCAATTGCACCTCTTGCTTGCACAATCGACCCTCATGAAGCAGCATCTGTTGCTTCTCCAGCATGTCCTCCGGGCTCTGTTTGTGTGTCACCAGGTACTGATTGCTGCAGCCCCGTGATTTGTATTCTGTGTCGAAGCGCGGGTCGTGTTCCCGCTGCACATCCACGGGTGCCAGCCAGGCACCCAGCGATACATCTTCACTGTGCCATGCACGCAGGTATTCCCGGCTGAGGCGCAGGTAATGCACCAGGTCCGAAGAGAGGATGTACCCACCGCCCAGAGCATAGGGCAGGTAGTAGTCGCAGAGTTGCCAGGCAGCTTCTCGCCAGCGACCTCCGGGCTTGACTCGCCCGCGCCCAGAAAAGAAGCCCCAGTAGAGGCGACGGCGGCGTGCAGGCTCACGTGCGCGTAGCTCTGCCAGTAGGGCGTCCAGGCGCGCAAAGGAGTCGTCATCCGCCTTGAGCACGAACTCGAAGTCTACGTGCTCGTCCAGCCAAGTCAACATGGCCAGGACCTTGGCTGTGAGGTTCTCGTAGGCGTCGCGCAGGGAGGGCAGCAGCAGCAGGTCCCCGTGCTGTGCTTGCTCGAGCTCCAGCGTGCGCCGCTCCTCTGAGCCCAGGCCGCTGGTGCCCACAGCAAAGCGCGCCCACACGTCCTTGGGGCCGCCGCGCCTCCCCTGTGCCAGCCACGTGCTGCGCACCGCGCTGCGACGCTCCACCGCGCGGGGCGCACTAGCCACTAGCACCGCCAGGAAGGCCTTAGCGCGGGGCTGAGCGGCTCCGGCGGCTGCGGGCGTCTCGCCCTCGGATGCACAGCGCGCCAAATACAACAGCGTGGTGCTGCAAAACGCCAGGCCGCTCAGGGCCAGCACCACCCGGTGCCGCCAAGCCCGCCGGAGTACCTTCATGGTGCGGGCGGGAGGTCGCCGAGTGCGCAAGCGCGGAGGCCGGAAGGCGCCTGCGCTACTCGGAGACCCGCATAGCGGGCTCGCTCTGGTAGCGGTAGGAGGAGCTCCGAGAAACCCGCTTACTGGGTGCCTGGATCTGACAGCCGGGGCGGCGTGGAAGGCGAGGCCTGGGTCAAGGATGCGTGGCACGTGACCTCGCGCGCCAGCTTTATTGGTTGGTTCTCGGAGGCTGCTTCCGCCCATGATAAAGATGGCGCCTCCGAGATTCGCTCCAGAGGCCATGCCCGCTCTCACGGTTCCCGGTTGTCTTACTCGCCCCTTCCCGGAAGAAAGATGGCGGCGGCCTGAGTCTAGGTCCGCGTAAGACTTTGCGGGCGCCCAGCTGCGCTCCCTAGACCCGGCGCTCCAGAAAGCCGGGGGTGAGTGAGGGGTCCCTGAAGCTGCTTTGTGAGGGGCGGGCTTGGAAGGCCACGCATCCACTGTTCCGGTCGCTTTGGGTCTGATCCCGCTTGACTCCACCGTCGCCCTGTTAAGAGTGCGCCCGCCCTCTTGCCCGGCTGCTCATTCCGGAACTCACGGAGCCGCGGGGGACTGAGAGGCTCGGGCTGTGTTACCGGCTGGCGTTGTGACCTCAACTTGTGTTCCAGCATCTCTATCCCGGTTTTGTCTTCGGTAAAATGTGCGCCATGAGTTCTAGTTCTACGAGTTGGAAATTGAAGGCCTGTGCTAAAACCTTCGTACCTGGCCCGGCTTTGGTGGTAGCTCTGTTTGGTACTATTGAGTGCAGTTCCTAAATTGACTGAACTTTTATTTATTTTTATTTACATCCTTATTTTGTGTTGCTGGAGGAGATCGAATCCAGGACCTTACAAATGCGGGGCAAATACTCTACTAACTGGGCCAAGACACCAGTCCTCTAACAGCCTTTGGACGGTTTTAGATTATGTAGCTGTTTTTTAGATTGTGATGGTCTTTTTTCTTTTGACTTTTTTTTTTTTTCCTTTTTGTTGTTATTGTGAGTTTTGAGACAGGGTCTCACATAGCTCAGATTGGCTGGAATTTAGCTGAGGCTGCTGGCCTTGAACTCTGATCCTCTTGCCTGTAATCCCAATGGGCAAACACTTTGAAGTCCAGCCTGCTCTACTTGGCAAGTTCCTAGCCAAGCAAGGCTCAATAGTGAGACCCTGTCTTCAAACAAACAAAAGCAAGCAAGCAAACAAACAAATGCCTGGTTTCACCAGAGTTGTAAGGATGGCAAAGAAGTACAAATATTTCCCCAACCACTATGTGGATACCTGAAACCGGAAACTCAGGTTTATAGTTACAGCAACATTTAACTTATAAATTAGGCCCAGACAGAGATTAACAGCTAATCATAAAATAGAACAGTTGTGACTTACTTTGATATATGTGTCACTGGACTGCGGTTGATGCCAGGTCAGGAGGTACCATTGTCACCTCTGAAGGTCTTAATAGCTTCTCTGTTGACCACTTGCTGAGAGCTGATTTGTGTAGGGGCTATGACAAGATGAAGCTCCTTGAAATCCTGACTTAGGGATTTCTGGTTAGGTGGGGAGGAAGAGAGCAGCTGCCCAACTTGCTTAGCTATGCAGCAAACTTTTGCATTAAGATAAATAACCTTTGTGGGGTAGTAGTGGGCACTCTTGCCTAGCACGGGCAAGGAAAAAACTGAACCAGTATGAGGAAGTCAGTTGATGGAGTCCTGGTTGTTTTGGGTTGCTTTTTATGTATGATATATAAGTGACTGTTCCACGTAGTTTATCAGAATAGTTAGAACTGAGAACTTTGTTCTTCAAGGAGCAAAGTATAATTAACACCTGGGGAAGTTACATTGGTTCTGGTGTTCCTGTGGACAGAAGAGTAGAGACATCAGGAATAGAACCATATCCCTAGGCTACTTGCCTTGGGTGACAACAGTCTCCTTTAGCTCCTGGCTCTTGGCAGGCTGTACTTCCCAGGGCACATCTTAAGTGCTGTTCCAATGGATTTACTGTGTGCTTTTGAGTAGTGTTTAGTGTCTCTGAAGACAACATTGATTGAATGTCTTTTAGGTTCTAATAGCTTGGCAGTGTTGGGAAAAAGAAGCTAAGTCTGACAAGGTCCTTTCCAGGGGCAGAACCCGGAAGGCCAGCAAATTGGCAGGAAGATAGACTGGGAAGAAGTAAATGCATTTTCCACGTTCTGGGCAAATAAGACTTCACGGGCATTTCAGCTTTCCTAGCGTTTCCTAGTGATACATGTTGATGGAGGCACACACGTGGATGTATGTGTGTAGTCTCTGTTGGGTTGGTGCAGGTGTTTGCTGATGACCGGTTTTTAGTTGTCAGCACACAGTGTGTGCCTCCACTCCACACAAAACACTGAGGTGGAAAGTAGGGGGCGATTAGTAAGAAACAGACACACAGAGGTCAAAAGACTTAGCCAAGCTCTGGAGAGTGCGTGACCACAGCCATCTACTAAACATTGTAATAGTAACCAGGGAGGGAGGGGGTCAGTTTTGCCTTTCTATGTTGTCGGCAGGCTGTACTGTTGGTATGTAGAGGTGGCGTACTGGATAGATCAGCATCTGAAAGTGGTGACAACTTTGAGTTGGGACTTCAGCCTGGCCAAGTGCCTTCCTCTGTTGCTGAATATTTGTTTAATTATGTAAAGATGTGTTGCTGTTTTACCTTGCCTGCCTAAGGTACTTGATTGGTCTAATAAAAAACTGAATGGCCAATAGCAAGGGAGGAAGTATAGGTGGAACTTCCAGGCAGGAAGATGAAGTAGGAGGAGAAATTTAGGATCAAGGAGAAAGAAAGACAACAGGGAGATGCCAGGGTCCAGCTAGACAGACACAGAGGAAGCAGCAAAATGGGACATACAGAATGAAAGAAAGGTAAAAAGCCCTGAGCCAATATGTTGATGAATAGAAACAGGTTAAATTAAGTTAAAAGAGCTAGTGGGAGGAGCCTGCGCTAAGGCTGAGCATTCTTAATTGATAATAAGTCTCTGTGTCTTTATTTGGGAGCTGGTTGGTGGCCCAAAGAACATTCCTCCAGTTTCTTTTTAAAAAGTAAAAATACCACATGTTGCCTGTCTTTTTTCCTTTTTCCCTCTTCATCTTTTTCTGTGGTGCTGGGGATCAACCCCCAGGACTTATCACTGAGCTACCAGTACCAGCTCCATATGCATGGATTTTTTTTTTTTTTTTTGAGGCAGAATCTTTCTGTTTATCCATGGCTAGCTCAGAGCACTGTAGGCCAGACTGGCCTTGAACTCATAAAGTTCCGCCTGTGACTATCTCCTGTGTTCTGGGATTAAAGGTGAATGCCAACATATCCTGCTTGAATATGTGGTTGATCCTGATTATTAAATCATGTTATAAAATAAATACGTTTTTTCTCTGTGTAGCATATTTTCTCTGTGTAGCCCTGGCTGTCCTGAAACTTGATCTGTAAACCAGTCCGACCTCAAACTCATAGAGTCACCAGGTGCTGGGATGCGCCATCACCACCTGGCCTGATTTGTCTTTGTCAGGTTCAGCCTGCCCCTTAGCCTTTGGCTTTCTTGACAGTGCTAGTAACTCAGGCTCTAGTTTGATCTGTGGTTTCCCTTTCTTCCTTACTGCTACTTCAGGTTCACACCTTGCAGGAGTCCCATGGTCTGACTGGTGGCAATGACGTCCAGGCAGAGTTCCCTCTGTGGTCTGGCCGCTCATGGCCTCTGGCTCTTGGGCCTTGTCCTCCTGATGGATGCAGCTGCCAGACCAGCCAACCACTCATCCACCCGGGAAAGAGCGACCAACAGGGAGGAAAATGAGATCCTACCCCCAGATCATTTGAATGGGGTGAAACTGGAGATGGACGGACACCTGAACAGGGACTTCCATCAGGAAGTTTTCCTGGGGAAGGACATGGATGGGTTTGATGAGGACTCAGAGCCAAGAAGAAGCCGGAGGAAGCTGATGGTCATCTTTTCCAAGTAGGTGTCTCATGAGTCCCCTATGAGTGTGTGTCGAAGGATGCAGCATTTGAGATGGTAATCCATTTGTCATAAGCTGGTCCTCTAGCACAGTGGTTCTCAACATGTGGGTCACCACCCCTTTGGGATCTAATGGCGCTTTCACGGGGGTTGCCTAAGACCGTTGGAAAATACAGATATTGATGTTATTATTCTAACAGTAACAAAATTACAATTGTGAAATAACAACAAAATAATTTCATGGTTGGTGCTCACCTCAACATGAACTGTGTTGAAAGGTCACAGAATTAGGAAGGTTGAGAACCACTGCTCTGTCTAGCACCTTGTACTTTGATGGACTTGTAGGGCCAACACTGATGTTTAGGCTCTCATGGCCAGAAAGACCTCAGGATAGATAGACCTCTACCCCCACTCCACCTCTCACAGATTCTGTGCATGACTGTTCCAACTATAGGTTTATCAATTGAAAAACATAAAGTCAGGCCAAGTGGAAAGTGGAGTGGTCCCAGCAGGTTATAATAGTTCAAGGTAGAGTAGGGATGGCCCCGGGCTGTCAGGAAAAAGATCTGACAAACCTATAATAGGTCAAGAGCTGATGAGGGGAGGACACAGGCTCTGCCTTTCCTCCCTTCCTGCCTCCCTCCCTCCTCCCTTTCTTTTTTCTGAGATTAGACCTTACTGTGTATCCCTGGCTAGCCTTGGGCTCACAAGTGATCCTCTTGCTTCTGCGTGCTTGCTTGCTTTGTGTGTGTGTGTGTGTGTGTGTGTGTGTGTGCGTGTGTGTGTTTTAAGACAGGATCTCTGTTATGTAGCCCTGACTATCCTGGAGCTCACTGTGTAGCCCAGACTGGCCTCTGCCTCCCAAACCCTGGGATTAAAGATATACACCACACCATCACATTGGCTTTATCTTTGCTTTCTCAGTGCTAGGAGAAAAGTTTCTGCAACCGTGTCTGCCTTTTACCTGATAGGCAGAGATATTGGGCACTTAAAAGAAATTGCACACTGGCTCAGAACTGAGAGATAGACATTTATTTAGGGGTAAAACTTACAAAACCAGGATTCTCTGCTTGAAGGCAGATGGAGATAAGATCCAAAACAATCTGAACTAGCCAAGTGGGAACCAGGGGAACAAGAGACAGGACGGACGGACATGCTTCCACATCCGGGTAAATAGTCTATGAGGCCACGCCTCAGTACACGGGTAGTTACTAGCTGTAAACCTTCCTGCAGCACCCCCCCTTTTGTTTAACTGAGAGTTCTAAACCTAATACAAAATTACATACAATAAGAACAGATATCCTATTCT